ACCCCCGGGTGGATCTATAAATTAGAGACACTGCTCATCTCGGAAAATAGAGACGATTTGTTCAAGCGACTCTAAAAAATAGAGACGAAGGTAATTTGTTATGCGAATAAACCCGAAGACCTTGAGCCAACAATTGTAAAACAAAATGCATCATTTGAGCATTGTGCCAATCTTGAGCCGTTTGAGCCATTATATCGCATATGTTGCATCATTTGAGCATTTTCCGTTTGAGCCACAATACATCATATATCACATCATCGAGCACTATACAAATCATGAGCAGTTTGAGCCAGAATTTAGGGCTTTTGGGTTTAGGGCTTGGGGTTTAAGGCTTTAGGGCTTTAGGGCTCTGGACTTTAGGGTTTGGAGCTTAGGGTTTTCACCCCAAACAGGAAAGTAACCTGAAAGAAGGGTTTTGGGTTGAAAAGTTTCGGGGCTGTGGCTTCGGGCTCGAGGTAGGGCGACAGAGTGACAGTTTGGGATCGGTTCAGCTAGGAGTTTAAGGCGTCTCTGGTATTTAGGGCTTTGAGGTTTAGGGCTTTGGGTGTAAGGCTTTAGGGCTCTGGACTTTAGGGTTTGGAGCAGGGTTTTAACCCCAAACAGGAAAGTAACCTGAAAGAAGGGTTTTGGGTTGAAAAGTTTCGGGGGGCTCGAGGTAGGGAGACATGCCATACCTTCAATATCGTCAACGAAAGCAGTAATAGCGGCGAAAGCCGCTCTAGATTCTAGATGTTTGGGGTTGTGAGGTTTTCGGGGCTGCGAACAGTAGCTGGGACACGGCTTTTTTTTTCCGGCGAGCCCTCGAGCTGCAGTTTCCCGGGCAGAGTCTTTGTCACTGCCCCTCTGTCTCAAGAGAAGCCTTGAGATTCTTCCTCGAGCTGCAGTTTCCCGGGCAGATTGTCACTGCCCCTGTGTCTCAAGATAAGCCTTGAGATTCTTTTCATGAAGGATATTGCACTTGAAGTGTATGACATTCGACCAAGTCCGGCGGTGAGCACTTCTAGCAATCTTGGCTATGACCCCATTCAAGGTCTCGTCGCGGTATGTGCTGTATAAGCGAGGGTTGCCACGATCAAGAGCCCTTTGAACCATGTGCACCAAGAGATGGCACTTCGGCCTCCAAACACCACCAGCCTTCAAGTACAAGCTCAAGAAACGTAGGTACTGCTGCAAGAGAGTCTGACAATCCAATCGCTTGAACTGCCGATTCTCCTGCTGCAGCACCTCGTCCATGGCCACCGCAGCCTCTCCAGCAGCGGTCAGCAAAGCGAGCTTCCTTGCCAAAGCCGGCGGCTGCGAGGCGAAGTCCGATTTGTACTTGTGCAGCATCCAGAGAACGAACCGAAGAAGGCCGTGCGATTCAGCTGCCTTCGCACTAAGCTGCAGCGAGTCGGCACTCCCCAGCATGCCGAGAGTCAAGTTCCAGACCTCGCAGAAGGCTGTAGGTTCCAAGTTTAAGGTGTTGGGTTTTGCGGTTTTGCCAATACGGGCTTTTCGGCCTCAGGGATTAGTGGTCTTAGATTGATGTTCTTGTTGATAGAGTATTTCGGGATTTGTAGTGGTTGGAGAACCCTGACTGAAATGCAGACCAGGAAACTTCAGAGCCTTTCTCCTTCCATGCCGGGTCATCTCTTCTCAGCTGTCTGTAGAACTGGAACAGCTCTGCCTTGATCGCCAAGAGTGCCAGCTCGCGAACATCAGCAGCTTCCATGTTGGCCGCCCGAGGCGAAAAAACACCCGAAGCGATGAAGCTGTGAATAGCCAGGCTGATGAACTGCTGCATTGGTCCCAGGTGCCAGGTGTGCATAATGTCAATGGACCAAGTATCTTGTGTAAGCCCCTCCAACGAGAACAGAGGACACATGTGGGTCAACCGCGCATTTCTCGCAGCAGTCCAAAAAACCACTCGAACAGGTATCTGTTGGTTTTCCAGCTGGCTCACGTCTGGCAGCGATCGGCTGGGTTCGACTCGCCAGCCCTTCTGGAGGCCAAAGCGGGGGAGGTCGGCTATCAAGTGTCGTCCCCGGTCTGCAGTAC